ATAACTCTAACACAAATACAGACATGTATAGGTGTGGACAGAAAATAGGCACGTGCAGTCTCCTCCCGGATGAAATTATTTCTCAGAAGACTTGCTTTAATATTGAAATAACTCTACCAGCTAAACTTAAGTAAATAACATTTTGAAGCTATGGGTCTGAATATCGGGAGTGTCAGCAAATCCCCGGATGTAGAGAAAGTCACCTCATCGCTTGTTAACGACCATTTAGTACTTCTTTACTTGGAAATCGATCCACACCTGTACACAATTTAAAGAAAGTTAAACAAATTCAAGTACTTGGTAAACAAATAAAAATGCTAATTCTATTTTACAGACAGGTTATCACGATATGCTAAAGAACAGAGGTCGTTAAGAAAAAAACATAGTTAGATAGGTCAGGATTTTTGATATATTTTGATTTCATTATTCATTGTATAACTTACCGCTTCTTCATTCACTCTATTCCGTCTTTGCGTATTACAGAGTTATCTGCACCTGTGAGCAGGTATTGATTGTTATGTCATTTGTTTTTGAGAGTAACGTCATCAATTTTTGAGAAAACGACGTAATTTTCTCACACAAACCAATGGCGTAACAATCAATACCTGCTCACAAGAGATAACCTGTTATTATTTTAAGAAATTACAAACATTTAAGTTACCTGCCGATTGTATAAACACAGAAAAGGGGCGTTACTAATACCGTAAGTTGGGACAGCCTCATTTAAATAATATGATTCCAGAATGAATACCATTTTATGCTATAATGTCCGTTCTACTTTGATCTGCGCATCCTCGACACTCCAGGGGTTAGTAACACTCACTTTTGATCTGCACCCCTCATCCTCGACACTCCAGGTGTACGTAACACTCACTTTTGATCTGCACCCTCATCCTCGACACCCCAGGGGTAAGTAACACTCATTTTTGATCTGCACCCCTCATCCTCGACACTCCAGGGGTAAGTAACACTCACTTTTGATCTGCACCCCTCATCATCGACACTACAGGGGTACGTAACACTCACTTTCGATCTGCACCCCTAATCCTCGACACTCCAGGGGTAAGTAACACTCACTTTTGATCTGCACCCCTCATCCTCGACACTCCATGAGTACGTAACACTCACTTTCATTCTCAGCACAGAGCGACAGTGAGCGTAACCCCTTGAGTATCAAGGAAGAATTTATTGTCTGAAAATCAAAAGATGTTAAACTGATAGAATCATAATGTATGCTAATAACACTCAAGAGTTATCGAAATGGCGTAATATATGAAAATAACGGAATATGAGATATCAATGATTTTTTTCAGTTATATTCTCAACATGTACATGTGTTCTGTTTAACGGTCTATATGTGCCGCGTTTATTGTAAGTTATTTTTACCGCCGTCGACTCGGGGAAAAAACCAGATTATAAAGAACTTGTTATAAATGCAGTGATCACGCTTACTGCTCATGTGATGTCCTAGATATTAACACAGCCTAAATTTTGACTCCCTTTTTCGCAATCGGTAAAAGATATTTCATAATTATAAGAAACAAAAAACGGGTATATAATAATGTTATACTCATCTAAACTCAAACTATTTAAAAATCTGGTGCAGGTACGTACAGTGCGTTATTTTGTCTTTTCCATTCATGAACATACATTGATTCATTGATGTCATGTTATAACATTCAGTGAAAACTCTGTATAAGTTGTGATGATACGTGTAAAAATATCAGGAGGGCATGTCAAGACAGGGTATGATGTAGTGTATCTGTTTTAGGATAATCCCCTGGCGAAAAACACGGCTATTCCCTGTGGGGTTGCTACAGTACTTTATACAATTTTTTTTTTTTGTGGTGTGAATCATGTATACCTACACAGAATCACAGCTACACTCCAACCGAACTCCTGTAAATGTGGGTAATATTTCTGTGCATAATGATATTGCACCCTTGTAGTTGTCAAGGGAATATTGGTTATATTGTACGAAGAATTCGATACAGAATACCAGTAATTGAAGGTAAGGGCTTTTCCATATTGTATTGTATGGGGGACGTTGGAGGCACATTTTAAATATATATAGGGTGGTCGGGTGGCGCAGTGGATATCGCACTTGCAATCGCCTTTCACCAAGACGGGCAGGGTTCGACCCCGATCGTACGTGAAAAGGTTTCGGGGTCACCTGGGTTTCTCCCGGTACTCCGGTTTCCTCCCACATAAAGACCCCCGCCCGCTTATATGTGGGCTAACAAGAGTGATTAATATAAGTTGCAAAACTTGTTTCATAATTGATGTAAAAGAAATAAAGTTTAGATATTAATATACAAAAATATTATGAGTAGTGGGCGGATTTAAAACCACTCACGGTGACTACCAATCCTGATTTCAAGTAAATTTTAGTATTTGATGGATGTTAGGGTCTCTGAAGAAACGGCCGCCCACTCGTCCCATATAGTAGACTGGTTACAAGCCCCTAAGTTTTTATGAAGAATTTCTCGGCTGTATTTTACTACTATAGTAACTTATTTCCCCCTAGTTTAGAACTTAGGCTAGAATCAGACATCCAAGTGATCAACATTTTTCAATGTGCAAAAGGGAGATAACTGGAGAAATCGACTTGATAAAAGTGGAGTGAAAAATGTGTGGTTTTCCTCTAACGGACTCATTTCTCGTGGCAAATTCTCGGGAAATATACCAGATCTTAGGGGACCAAAAACATTCACGTAGGACCAAAAATATTCACGTACCTTTTTGTAATACCCCTCTTATACTTATACATGTTGAAACAGTAATACAACATGTATGCTCTAGTTTACTTATCTGTTTTTTAATGCATATTCCGCAATATCTTGTTTTCGTTATTTTTTTTAAAATTTATATTTATAAATAACTATCCAAAACGTAGATCAAGTTTGTTGCTTCCTTGTAATGGATGTTGCTTATCGTGTTCGACTCTTCTTTAAAGACGTTTTATCCAGATTTCTGTGACATTGTTTCTCCTTGGATTATTGGGAACTGAAATCTCCTATTAACTATACAATTATAAACTTTCCTCTGATTAAATATCAGGAAAGTAGGGTGTTCATTGAGATGTGGATATTGTGGCCAAAGCTTCCATTGTCATATAGCTCCACATATCCCCGCTTCGGATCACAAACAAAATTATCATATTTGACCTAAATCTGTAAAATATATTTATAACAATTAAATGGAATAAAGTCAGGCTTTTCTTGATAAATCTTTAAAATATTTGGAAGAGGATTCGAATCGTAAAAAAAAATTAAGAGGAAAAGAATAGGTAGTTGTGTAATGAAATTGACCTGAAATTACTTTATTTTCGAACGAGGTATCCTTACTAGTGCAGATACGTCTGTAATTTTACAAACTGGATCAAAACTGAAAGAAAATTTGTAATGTTTTACTCATAATACATATTTGAATGATATAAAGAAATAAATAAACCTTAAATATCACTTCCCTAATTACAATGTACAAAGATGGGCTGTCGCTTCGATCATATTACAATACTTGAAATATGTTAAAATACATCAGTTTCTAATTGAAGTTCTTATAGCATTCTAAATGAAAAAATCATCCCCATTGGTATTTTGAAATAATGACAATTTAGCAAATTACATGTTCTTAAATTATTACACTCTTTGAGTTATTTCTTCTACTTCAAATCCTTCTGCCAACCTTACATGTACATATTTCATGATTTTGTTTAGTTTAAACATATTTTATTGCTTCTAAATTCGAGCAAGAGGATTGGGCACAAGTTATGACAACTTATAAAAGCCCTCTCCTCAACAATTGTACTACAACAATGGGATAGCGACAATAGACACATATGTACATTTTTTTATACCATAAAACGAATTTCGAAATCAGAAAAGGGAAAGAAAAGACAGAATGAAAGTGCAGGAAAACAGGTTGAAAGTGCATGATTTTGTGTTGGTTTTCCCATTTTAATAATTCGATAAAAGATATGAATTATTTAGTGTAATGGTACAAGTCGCTAGCTTCCCGTTCTTTACAATTCGCTGCTGTCTTATTTACATTTACTCATAGATATGCCCCATCATTTTTTCCATGATACTCTCTACCGTAGTGAGCGGGTCAACTATTGCTAATGGTGAAATTATGACCAGGAAGAGTTGGTGTTATTTCTTTGTAGATATACATATTTAAGATGTGCTTCTGTAAGAGTTCACGTGGAAAAATAGTGCATTTTCCTTGTTGACTGCGGTAGGTACCTATGGTACATGTTTATTGTCTATCCGCGCAGAGACTGCCACATACTATTCAGTTTACGAGGATTCCCCCCCCCCCCCCCCTATTTGCAATGGCGGTACCAGTAGTTTGTGAACTATAAAAGGCTTTCCTCTCGCTGAATGGCACAGGTGATTATATAACAATATGGCTATTATTCTTTCTTCTAAATACAAACAGGATTCGTTTAATATATTTCATGAGCAATCCTAAACATACCGGGGCGTCAACCAAATAAATCCAGTTAAAATTTCCCCGCGATAGGGACCTATTGGGGAATTCCCTGTTGTACCCTGGTCCTTTAATGAATGTCTTCCCCTATTCATGATGACGCGCAGTTGATCATTGACCCTATCAACTTAAATGACCATATCGGTGTAAGGTGAATTTGCGATCTACTTCACTAATCGAAAGGTGGGTACCTTATCTGATAATCGTGGCAGGGTCTGTGTTGAAATCCTTATCAACAGTTTGTAAAATGGTTCTATAGTCGTTCAAAACACTGCTTTACACCACGGACTTAGATAATCTAATTCCGTGTTTACACAAACAAATTATTATGTGGTGTATTTTCAAAAAACATATGTTTCCATTTATTTACATGTAAGTGTGATTCAAAATGAATGTCAGAATACTAAAAAACAGCCAGTAAAATCCATAAATAAAATCAATGAATAAGTAATGAAATTAATAAATACTAATTAAACAAAGAAACAAATGCAATTTGAATACAAAAAAATCCCGCTGAATATCGCGCTATGAAGTTATGCTTAACGTTCTGAAGACCAAGATTGGATCGGTCAGGCCATACACACACGTAGGTTTCTCTTCATGTTTTCATTAGATTTGTCCACGCGCAGTTTTAGCAACACTGCCCAAACCTCATACTTCCTGATCTATGGAATATTGAATTATTCAGAAAAAAAATTCCTGTAAGAATTTTGATTACTTTGAAAGTAGATACTGAACTAGCAGTCACAGGGAACCCTGGTTGTATAGGGCGTTTTGGTTTTACAACAATAGGCCTGCTGTTCATGATATATATGTCTAAGGTCAATTATACACGTATGCCCCTCTTCATCTTTTCATTTGATTTATTTACCTGTAGATTGAATTTCTAGAATGTTGAATTATTCAGGGGAAACAAACTTTAATATGTTTTATCACGTGGATGTGTGTAAAGTCCATTACAAGAACTTCAGAACTGACAGCCATTCGATGAATTAGCGTATACTGCACAAGGGGTCACGATGAATCCCTGTTCTTGTTTAACACCGATAGGCCTGCTGTTGTAATATCTATTTTTATCTCCAGTGTGTGACAAAACCTGACCCACTTGTGATACACCTTATTGTATTATGGACCGAAGCAGATGATTTGACTCCTACGACACTTAAGTGTGGCACGACTATTGTTTGGTAAAGTACATGTATTAGACGAATCAGCAGTGGGTCATCCCGTGCCATAAATATAGATTGTAGCCCCACTCTATTCACAATGTTTAGAATGAATCTCTTATCTCCGAACTTGAACCTTACACGGTCCTTCCCAGATGAGATGTCAAACTTAAAAAAACCCAAATTTTAATATTTAAGAGAGAAATTTGGTTTTATTAGAATAGAAATGCAATTTTGCAATAATTGTCTATGGCTAAAAGGTAAATGATATTGCGATATATTGTGATATTGTAATATATTGTGATATTGCGATATATTGCGATACGGGACCCAACATTGTTACTACAACGATAAATCGCGATTTCATGACTTTCAATATTACAACATATCAAGTTATTGACAGCGTTTTACCTGCGAAACAAATATATGAGAACAGCTGAGTGGTGCATTTAGTTATACAATTAAAGGCCATATAGAATGTTTATAAAAATCGAACGTCATGTACATTCGTCAGTTAATATCAATACAAGAAACTCCTCTGTAAAATTTAGTTTTCAATTCTTAAAAAAATCCGCAAATTGCAATATGCGAGATTCGTAAAATACACACTATACTTAATCAATGCATTGTTATATATTGGGTTTTATATCGATATATTTTTATTGCATGATCTCATTACAGTAAAATATGATTTTTATAAAATTTCCATTTCATCGCCTATTATAAAACATTGCATTTGGTTGTGAGGGCGTAGTTTTAAACAGTGTCATGTTAGTGCGTTAGAGTTATATATTTATCATATATGTGGGCGTAAAAAGTGTGACGCCCCAATAGTGACCCAGATACACCCTTTTCTCAGTTGTCTGTTTTGCCAACAAAACAAACTTTTATTAAAAAAAAAAAAATCGATTTTAAAATTTCAAATACTTGTATTGCCTCTATAGTTACAGTGAACGCCACGAAAACCAGTTGGACTTCCCCATCTATGTGTGAATGATCGTGGATTTCTACAGTGAAAATACAAGGTAGGTGAGCTCAATCTACATACAAAGTCATATAGACATGTCAACATACATACACTGGGTCGTGTTTCCCTGTCATACGAGGTTGATAACACCAGTGTGAATGTGTATGGAGCTGGGAACCTCGGAATTGGCGAGATTACGTGATTTTTTTGGCACGAATGCTATAAACCTCGTTTGAAACAAATTCAATATTAGAAGGGTGGAATTTATAGTAATACAGTTTCAGAAATAGATATGTTTAAGCTTTCGTTTACCCGACAGTTTTCGATTACCCGAGAACTTTCGTTTACCCGAGAACTTTCATTACTGGAGAGCTTTCATTACCCGAGAGTTTTCGATTACCGCAGAACTTTCGTTTACCCAGGAGTTCTCGATTACCCGAGAATGTTCGTTTACCCAAGAGTTTTCGATTACCGCAGAACTTTCGTTTACCCAGGAGTTCTCGATTACCCGAGAACTTTCGATTACCCGAGAACTTTCGTCACCCGAGAGCTTTCGTTTACTCGAAAATGTTCGTTTACCCGAGTGTTATCGATTACATGGGAACTTTCGTTTACCCGAGAGCTTTCATCTACCCGAGAACATTCGATTACCCGGGAGCTTTCGTTAACGTACCCGAGCTTATTTGTTTACCCTGGAGCTTTCATTTACCCAAAAAGTTTTCGTTTATCCTTCGATTGCTATTGTTATTTTTGGCCACACACGTCGTGCATATCACACTGTTCTCTTTATCCAATTACATAACTTCCGTGTCAGTGAACTTCAAACAAACACGACCTAGAAGAGATATTATCCACTTATGATGAAATAAGGGTTACTTTCGTTATCTTGTTAGTAGACCCGATTTCCGGTTTCGGTCGGTAATTTCCATTTTTTTTATCAAACGATTCAACAATCGGGCTGGTACGACTATCGCAATACAACTAAACATATCAGTGGAAATATATGAACAAAGATATGTCAGATGGTTTTTTTCGATCAATTATGTGTTTGATTGTGATAATCTGAAGTAAATATTTGTGTTAGCAATACACAATGTATGAATGAGAGTTTTCTGTTTATTTCTAATATCTTCGTTACTGATCAGACTGATCAATATTGCTTGGTTGGTTTATTTCCCCCTATAGTCAAGAGGCTTGGGTTATGTTTACATTTCCGCTTATAATTATCAGCATACATTGACGTACCGAAAGTTTTTTTGTTTTTTTTTATGTACGATATCATAATAATTTCCTTGTTACCTCATTTTTTTGTTGTAATATGCAGCAAAAATATTTGTTTAAACTAAGCTATTTTTTTTTTTTTTTTTTTTAAATGACGAAATCGGTGATCAGCTCTGAAAATGTTCATACACTGTAAAAAAAGATTGACCAAACAATACCCAATTTTCAATATTTTTTTCGCGTATCTACAATTGTAGTTTTAACAAAAAAGTACTTTAAAGATCAATTCGTCCACACAATAAATATTTTGCTAACTTTGATGGAAAAACATTTCTATAACCCAGAAGACACTTGTATCCCCGTACCACTGCCAGATGCTAAATATCAAAATAAGTCCACTGTACACACGTAAAACCACAGTGTAGTGGGACAGGGGTCCTTAATGTACCATTTCTACCTGGTGTAAATAAATTGATATGATCTGATTCTATGCAAGAGCTTTTGAAGGAGGGAGGCTAGTTAAAGAATTTCACATTCGGATATATTGATGATGTTGTATTATTGAATAAAAAAAATAACTCGAAAGCTAGTTAAAATTAAAGATATCGTAGCCCCTTTTACCATCAGTGCAAGAACAAACTTCGTGATTCTTTCAGCTTACATAACAAATGTGATTACTGCAACTTATGATACTTAACTTTCCTTTCCTCAATAGTAACATACCACCTTTCCCTGCTTATATAGTTTACTTCTCATATAGAGCGATACACATAGGGCTTTCTACCAGACTGGTTGTAACATACGCAGGGAAAGTCATTATGACTGTATTTCGAGAAGAAGAAATGTAGTTAAAATTGCAGATATCATAGCCCCTTCTTCGTCTGCTTTGTGAATTAAATGGTAATACACTGTAATTTAGAAATCCTTCAGTTGGTTATCCATCATTGTCCGACGGCAGACGTAAGTATTTGTTCGATATGTCCGGATTTGTAGGAATCATCATCTGGGGTGTGATATGTGGTGTAGGTTATTCTTGACCCTTCCAGAACAAAACACAGTTTCTTCTCAGTTTTTTTTTTAAATCGGGTTCATGATAGTTTTTATTTTCTTCAAGTATCTCCTCGGTTCAAAATCTTGTAAATATCGACTCTAAGGTCCGTTGTCTTTTATAATGTGTAGATTTTATGGTATACGTTTTTCTTGTTTAGTATAATCGAGTAACTATTCAATTTAGATAGCTTAAAACAATAGTTATAACGTATTGGTTTATATTTAAGTATTTATAACAACATTAAGACATTTAGAAAGATTGAAATACGGTTTTAGTTTGTACTAGACACTATCACTGTCCCACTGGGCTCTGTGTAGCATCACAGAGTTGTTTTATAAATACTCGCTTCCTTACACCCAATTTCTAGTTATAATGTTTGGGAAGCATGAATATATTAAGTGGAATATTTAATAAACGGAAGGTTCTTGAATAAGATACCTGGAAAGCAAGTACGTTTACTGTAAATCGCAATAAAAGTATAGCTATAAAAATATGTAATACAAGGTATTTTGAGTACAGTTCACAACGTAAATGTCACGAGAACCGCTGAATAGATTAAAATCGAATGATAACCCACCCCCTCCTACACCCGCCCCCACCACATTACTCACTGACCTCCTCGCTTCAAAGTACGACTGACTTATGTCGTAGGTATCATGTTATCAGACAGTAATTGTGTCCTAGGTATCATAATGTATCATCTTTATGATAAAAGTCAAAAGGACACCTCGGTATGACTGGTCGGCCATGCATAGCCTCCTACGAAACAGGTCAGACTGGTTTGAATTGAATCATACAGTCTATACAATCAAGCGACACACACATTTTACTGAGTGCTGAATCGAAATGTCAAGTGCAAGTCCAGTGATTCATATTCTTTTGATCTCACGCACCAACGACAGATCCATTAAAAATAATGTTATTTATCACATATGGATTTTAAATAAATTTCAATTTGCTAACTAGTCTTAAATATATATAACACCCAATATGGATAAGATACTCGTGTTCCCTAGCAGGTTTCATCAATCCAACTTTTAAAACTTAAAATGTATATATCAGATGGTTGATCAACTCAACAAATATACAAAATATGTCGGTTCAGAACGATGTACTAGTATTCCTTTATCTCATTATAGTGAGTTGTACACATAAGTGCAAGGCGACAGCCATGCCGAGAACTGGAAATGTATCAAGCTGTTTGTGTATAATTCAGAACAACGTACTACGAATCATTCACTGATTATGATAACACAATTGAAGCAGTCTTGGTCTCGAATTGTTAGAGATTTCATTATCTTTGATTTCGAACTGACCACAAACAAAAATAAGAAACTCTTTGTCGGAAACATTGGTCGTTCAACGTTTCATCAGTGTTAGATTTTTTTGTTTGTTTTATATCTTATTAGTGGACCAAAATGTAACAACTTTTTATAGGGACCATCAGCTGATCAATCATAGGAAATGTCAGACAGATGCGGACAAAAATGATTTGACAAGGACCTAACATCATTACCTTGACGATGTCAGAAACCTTTCTTACAAGTTCTTGCAATATCGGCCCATTAGGACTTCGTCATTGGTATTTATATATGATACGGATTTTCAGGATAACCAACTTAGAAACCATATTGAAATTAAGAAAAACCTTGAAAATAGCAAGTTTTTAACGGTGAAAGCATTGCACAATCCTAACCAATCCTTTTGCCAAAATGGCTATGGCAGTCGTCTTTGGATTTTCGCTTTACATGAAAGATAGTATCACTAAGTCAGTACCGCAAAAGCACCTTCCTTACTAAATTCCAGTTGCACCAGCTCTAAATATGTTTAATGAATGCTTCATTTATATGTGATAATTAGGGTTTTCAAGATGATCACCCTGCCACCCATATTAGATTATGTTTAGTTTGAAGAACGTCAGTCGATCATCCCCACCAACTATCCACAATGTTAACACAATAGAAAAGAAGTTTAGAAAACCGCATTCCACTGCCAAAATATATGCGCTAAAAACATCTTTCTGACATGACTTAAGTTTCGGAACGTCAATCAAACAGCCCTTCTAAGTATAACAGCAAAACTTGCGTAATTCCAACTTTGTTTTGAAAATGGCGGTTTTAACGGCCATCTTGGATTTCAAATTGATTAAAAACAAATCGGAACATTTGGTCAAAACCGCGTTGAATAGTCCTTAACAATGTTCATTGAAATATTATCAGTGGTTTTTGAATTTAAGTTCAAAGTGAGAAATTATTTTAAATGAGGACGGATACGCATGTTACATGACGGTGAGTGACAGACGACAGTTGACAAGAGGCCACGTGAGTGTTCTGCACAGGCGGCATAATTCAATGAAGCTGTCAAAATTGCATGCGGATATGGGTTTTCCCTTGTTTCTTATTTTTGGATATTCCGCTAATCAAGAAAACTTCTATATATCTCATTTGCTGTAAAACTCATCGACGCTTAACCGGTAAGTTTTAAACGATGAAAATATGTTAAAATAATCGTTATCGATAATGAACAATGTATTATAATTTGGGAATCGTTCCTTATTCTTAGACGGTGTTATGTAACATTTTGAAAATAAGACTTGTCTTAGTAAAACATATTCTTATTTACATATATGTGCGATCCCCACCAAAACAAGATGGACATTGAGTTGATTGGAGCTCATAATAGTGATACATGTAATCTCTCCTGGGATAGGACAGAGCACCTACTAAACCCATAGTCAATCAGGTAACCTAATCAATGTTTAACTTAAGATGATTGTTTTTTCATCA